ACACGTTCAAATACACTCCAATTACGTTCATAGCCAGAAGAAGAAGCAGTTTGGCTAAGAATGCGAATAGCAAACTTCTGCAAATTCGGAGCATCAATACCAAACCATTTCCACCACTTATCTGCATATTAAGCATACATGTTAGTATCTTAATTCTTAATAAACAGAACTAGTATTAATGTACATAAATTCAATTACCTGGTTGTAGCTGTTGCGCAGAATCAATTGCTTGCTTCCTCCCAAAATTACCTTTTCGTTCAGAATACAAAGTCAGCTCCTCAAGCACCACATTTGTATCAGGACATAAGGATTGGTTCTCAAGAAGATCAAGAATGCCATTTCTAATAGGTCTTGTATCTTCAAAATCGTTGGCATACTTGAAAGCTGGATTAAGGAAGTATGATGCCACAAAAAAATCACGGCTCAAATGTTTATCCCACCTCTTATTAATGAGGTCTATGTAAGGCTTGTACTACTCCACCTTATCTCCACAAATAGCCTTCACAGCTTTTGACACTCTAATCATCCCATCATGTACATACCCCATAGCTGGTTTACTATCTGAATCAACAATGCGAAGTAACTTCACTATTGGCATTGTCAACTTAACTATGAAGTCACAATCCACCCAAAACATTTGATCCAGTACAATTGACTTCACATCCTTTCCAACCTGCATTTTTGAGAACTCACTATCTCGAAAAAATTCACTGATCACTAGAGCCTCCAAGTCATTCATATGCTCAAAAATACTTTGCAAACTCAGAAATGTAGTTGCAAATCTTGTAGCTCCAGGCCTCACTATTTCTTTCCAATTATCTCTTGTCTTCAACCAGTAATAAAGTGGGCCATGATTATAAACAAATTTAGAGATTTTGGTTGCTCTATATGCAAGAGTCCTAACATGAGGCAGCCCTCCAATGTCTTGCAGAAGTAAATTCAGGGTATGAGCAACACAAGGAGTCCAATATATATTACCATAATGGTCATGAATCATCTTCCCTGCAGATCTATAATTAGATGCATTATCCGTCACCACCTGCACAACATTCTCTGCCCCAACCCAATCAATGACCCCACTGAACAACTTAAACAAGTTCTTTCCAGTCTTCACCATATCAGAAGCATCAACGGATTTCACAAAGCATGTGCCATTAGAAGAATAAATCAGAAAGTTGATCAAAGATCTATGCCTATTATCTGTCCAACCATATGCCATAATGGTGCATCCAGATTCCTTCGAATGAGATCTAAGATTCTCAATCAATATCTGACATTCTTTCACAATGCTATCCAATAAAGTAAACCTCAAAGCATAAAATGTAGGACCACCATAACCAGGACCAAGGGTTAAAGAAGCATCCAATGCAATTTTAAACTGTAGAGATTTAATTGCTTCTAAAGGAACACATGCATCATAGAACCATCTAGCTCATGCTCGATCTACATACAATACAACTTATTTAGTTGCTAAGGCACTCTTTATTCCTGGTTGGCTACCGGAAGTTGATCGTGGAGCAAAAAAAGTGTCAACTGATCCAGTAGACACATTTGTGGAAGTAGCAACTCTTTTAGAACTATTACCATCATCATGTGCACTAGAAGAACTAGTCTTTAAGTCCAGCTTTGATAAGTTCAGATTTATTCTTATTAGCTTCATAATCAGTCAAAAGTTTGCTTAAGTTTTGCCTCACCTCAGGAGGAACCTTTGTACATACAGCATTATCCCCACTAACTCCAGCTAGATGTTTTTTCATTCTAGTGATTCCTCCACCTCTGAATACTTTCTCACAATATATGCAAGTGCGTACCTCAACCTTTCCCTCAAGATGAAAGGTACAATGATTCCAAGTCGGATCAGTTTTGGCCCGTACATTCTTTGTTGACACTCGTGGTGTACTAGAAGCTGCTCCTTGCTCAACTGCCGGGGTTTCTTCCCCGCTAGCGATTGCTGTCACAATAAAAACAATAAACATAATGTTAGTAAAAGGCACGATAGCAGCAATTACAAAAGCATGTTTCGGATTGGTCTTTGCAACTAATAATCCAAATCAGACGTAGATTTGATACACATTCTCATAATAGTGCATTTCAGCTTATATTAGTGTTAGTGAGTGGCTCATTTTTGGTACCCATCTCCATTGTTGTGTTAGTGTTGCAGGCTCCAACTTATTTTTCTTGTTAGTGAGTTAGTAGTGGTAGGGTTTGAAGTGTGTGTTGTGGTTGTGGGAGTTGGGTTCCCATCATTGTTTGCCAACCGCCCAACCCATACATTGGTTGGTGACTTGTGATTAAGTGAGTTTGTGACCTTTTAATTTCCCCACCCACAAGACAAACCAACCATAGTTGCCAACACGATTGAAAAGAATAATAAGACTATATTCAAAGGAAGAGATGAATCCTTAGAGGGAAAAGATTTTGAGGATCTCCAGCCCATTTTGGGGTGAGTGAGTGTTAGTTTTGGGTTCCAGGCAAGCAAAGCAAATCCCTTCCATCATACATGTATCATGTATGCAAAAAAGTCAATAGAAGCCCCAATCTCACAAGATGGAAGAACACAAAGTGATTGGATAGGAGTTAGGACCAATTGATATATCACCATTCACCATTCACCACTAATAACTAATAAGATATGTTGAATGAGGTTGATGAGCGCCTCTAAAACCAGTGTGGTTCTATCACTATATCATTTGTTTGATTTCATCAGTTTCTGAATTTTAAGGTTGAACAACTATCAAGCATACCTATTCGAAATCCAAACTGAGCTACATTTACTTCACCACAATTAACACATTCCAAAATGAAAGATCTAATGGAGGATTGAACAAACCTCTGAATCGCTATCCAAACTAAGCTTGGTAACCAGATACTTGATTAACAACCGAACCGTCTTTCTCCTCCGGCGCGGCTGTGAACGACGATGTCTTCGGTTGCTGGGGAGGACGAGTCGCCGGTGGTGTTTGGATGCTGGGGAGGACGCTGTCACCGGTGGTGTTTGGATGCTGGGGACGCCGCTGTCGCCGGTGGTGAGAAAATGGAAAGGAGTTTGAGAGGTAGAGCGGCGTGGGGGAGACGAGAGGAGAGTGTAGAGAGAAGAGCGCTAGCCAGCAACAGCCGAAGGTAGGGTTTCGTCTCTGCTCTCTTCCATTATTTTTAGCTTGGTCAAAAACGGCGCCGTTTGAGTTAAATTAAAGGGACCGCCGGTTTTAATAAAACCGGCCGAAATTTCGGCCCCATTGCGGTCCAACCATAAATACCGCCCGGCAGGAACTTGGATGGTACACAGCCCCTGTTGTGCCGGGCCAGGTCCGGTTTCCGGTTTTTCCGGTCCGGTACGGTATCCTGGTCCTTGTTAGTTTTATAAGACGTTATCAGCACGAGACTCTTCCTTTTGAAAACATAATTGTTCTACTCAAGGTATGTCGGTTCTCCCAAATTGTTTCTTTTATTGTCCTATTTCAATTTACATATCATTTCCTTTATTAATTAACACATGAAATCTTTGTTTGAGAATGCAAAGGTATAATTTCCTTCTTAATAATTATTTTTAGCAAGCCATGATTATATATACTTCGTAGTAGTAGTAGTATAAAAATCTCAATATATTTTTCCTTTATAATTTGTTTATTTTGAAATTCGAATTTTTTTATATATTTGTAAAAATATCAAATTGATATATCATGGGTCACATAAGTCGTTTGTCTTGATAGTAATCTATATTTATTTATTGAATTTTGACTTTAATTTGTGTATACTTTTATGATAGTATGTCGAATCTTTCAAAACTTGAGTTTGTAGCTCTTGATGTCACTGGAAAAAATTACCTATCATGGGTGCTAGATGATGAAATTCATTTAGCTGCCAATGGTCTTGGAGACAAGATTAAAGAGGGCAATTAAGCATAAGATCAAGACAAAGCTAAAGCAATGATCTTTCTTCGACATCACCTCCACGAGGGATTGATGAATGAGTATCTTACGGTAAAAGATCCACTTATTTTGTGCACTAATTTGAAGGAGCGGTATGACCACAAAAAAACCTGTGATTCTTCCTAAGGCTCGTTATGATTGGATGCATTTGAGGTTACAAGATTTTAAATCTATGAGTGATGATAATTCAGAGCTATTCAAAATAACCTCATAACTACTGTTATGTGGAGAAAATTTACTGATGAAGATGTGATGCCAAGTAAGTTTATTTTACTTTCAACTTTTTAGTTATTTTACATTTTAAGTATGTTTTGAATAGCTTTCAAAATTCTTACATGCTTGTGTTTACTTACATGCTTACATAACCGCTCCCCCACCAATGGTGTCTAGTAAGTTTATTTTACATTCAAATTTTAAATTATTTTACATTTATTTACTTTTTGCATTTTTAATTATGTTTTGTATAGCTGTAAAAATTCTTACATGCTTGTATTTATAATTAAATATTTATATATGGATGATTAATGGTCTACCACATTAGATGCTCACTTAGGAGTTACATGTAACTCCTATTGCTATATCATTATCTCTAATTCATATGCATTGATGTAAGGATGTAGTGGTTACCAAAGGGTGCTTATAAATAAAGCACACTATCACAAATAAAGTATGAATAAGAAGAACTATTTCTCTCTCTTCTCTTGTGTCTTTCCTTCTCTAATCTTTTCTTGTAGTTGTTTATATTTTCCATTAGTTTTATAACACGTTATCAGCACGAGACTCTTCCTTTTGATAACATAATTGTTCTACTCAAGGTATGTCGATTCTCCCAAATTGTTTCTCTTATTGTCCTATTTCAATTTACATATCATTTCCTTTATTAATCAACACATGAAATCTTGTTTGAGAATGCAAAGGTATAATTTCCTTCTTAATAATTATTTTTAGCAAGCCATGATTATATATACTTCGTAGTAGCGGTATAAAAATCTCAATATATTTTGCCTTTATAAATTGTTTATTTTGAAATTCGAATTTATTTATATATTTGTAAAAATATCAAATTGATATATCATGGGTCACATAAGTCGTTTGTCTTGATAGTAATCTATATTTATTTATTGAATTTTGACTTTAATTTGTGTATATTTTTATGATAGTATGTCGAATCTTTCAACGCTTGAGTTTGTGGCTCTTGATGTCACTGGAAAGAATTACCTATCATGGGTGCTAGATGCTGAAATTCATTTAGCTGCCAACGGTCTTGGAGACACGATTAAAGAGGGCAATGAATCATAAGATCAAGACAAAGCTAAAGCAATGATCTTTCTTCGACATCACCTCCATGAGGGATTGAAGAATGAGTATCTTACGGTAAACGATCCACTTATTTTGTGGACTAATTTGAAGGAGCGGTATGACCACCAAAAAACTGTGATTCTTCCTAAGGCTCGTTATGATTGGATGCATTTTAGGTTACAAGTTTTTAAATCTGTGAGTGATTATAATTCGGAGCTATTCAAAATAACCTCACAACTACTGTTATGTGGAGAAAATATTACCGATGAAGATATGTTGGAAAAAACATTCTCCACTTTTCATGCATCCAATGTGTTCCTGCAGCAGCAATACCGTGAGAAAGATTTCAAGAAATATTATGAGCTCATTTCTTGTCTCCTTGTTGCTGAACAAAATAATGAGCTCCTAATGAAAAGTCACCAATCTCGTCCTACTGGTGCCGCCCCATTCCCAGAAGCGAATGCGGCGACGTTCACCCAATATCCTTATGGGCAAATAGATGGACGTGGACATGGACGAGGACATGGTGATATATGCTAGCCAATTCACCCACCATGTGGACCATCTAGATATTTATTGATTTTAGTTGATGTATCAACTAGATGGTCACATGTGTGCTTACTATCAATTCCCAACCTGGCGTTTGCTAGATTACTTGCCTAATTGATACGACTACGAGCACATTTTCCTGATTTTCCAATCAAGAAAATACGTCTAGATAATGCTGGTGAATTTACTTTACAAATTTTCAATGACTATTATATGTCCACTGGGATTGATGTTGGAACATCCTGTAACACATGTTCATACAAAAAATGACCTTGTAGAATCATTTATTAAGCATTTGCAACTTATTGCAAAACCATTGCTTATGAAAATAATTTTGCCAATTTCTTGTTGGGGACATGCTATATTGCATGCGGCAACATTAATTCGCATAAGGCCAACAAGTTATCATGAAATTTCCCCCTTGCAAATGGTTTTTGGTCAGGAACCTAATATTTTCCATCTAAAAATATTTGGGTGTGCCGTCTACATCCCTATTGCTCCACCACAGCGTGTTAAGATGGTTCCTCAAAGAAGGTTGGAAATTTATGTTGGATATGAGTCCCCGTCAATCATAAAATACTTAGAACCCTTGATGGGAGATTTATTCACTGCTCGTTTTGCTGATTGTCATTTTGACGAATCAGTTTTTCCAACATTAGAGGGGTGAGAACAAACAGCTGGGAAAAGATATTTGTTGGAATGAATTATCATTATCTCACCTTGATCCTCGTACTAGACAATGTGAACTGGAAGTTCAAAAGATAATTCATTTTCAAGGTTTAGCAAACCAACTGCCAGATTCTTTTACTGACCATAAGAGAGTGACAAAGTCACACATACCAGTTGTAAATGCTCCGGTGAAAGTTGATGTCCCTATTGGACAATCTGAAATTGCAAATGAATCTAAACCACGAATGAAGCGTGGTAGACCAGTAGGTTCCAAGGATAAAAATCCTTGAAAAAGAAAAGGAGCTATGCATCAAGTTGGTCAAATCGAGGATATGAAAGCTCAAGAAGAGTCCCCAAGCATAACTAAGATTGTAGTTCCTGAAGAACATCAGGTACCTGAAAGTTTTGATAATGAAGAGATCTCAATCAATTATGTCTTGGATGGAAAATGTTGGAACCGAAGTGAAATAATCGTCGATGATGTTTTTGCGTACGCTGCAGCGTTGAGTGTGATGAATGAAAATGAGTATCACGAACCAAGATCTATTGATGAATGCAAGTCAAGAGATGATTGGCCAAAGTGGAAAGAGGCCATTGAGGCGGAATTAAACTCGCTTTCAAAGTGAAAGGTTTTTGGACCGGTAGTCCTTACACCAGAAAACGTAAAGCCAGTGGGATACAAATGGGTTTTTGTGCGGAAAAACAATGAAAAGGGTGAAGTCGTGAGATATAAAGCACGTCTTGTCGCACAAGGATTCTCACAGAGACATGGCATTGATTATGAGGAGACATACTCCCCCGTGGTGGATGGAACTACGTTTCGATACTTGATTAGTCTAGCAGTTCGAGAAGGACTAGATCTGCGTCTATTGGATGTTGTGACAGCCTATTTGTATGGATCACTTGATAATGATATATATATATATATATATATATATATATATATATGGCAAAGGCTAGCGTACGCCCGGGCGTACCCTAGCCTACCGTACGCCCGTTGAGTTTTGCAATTTAGACAATAAATTAACCGGAGTTTGGGGTACGATACTATACCCTAACCCCTAATGGGTGAACCCCAGTCCGCAATTCACTAACCCAAATAATAATATTCATTTAATCTTGAAATGAAAATCAACGGTTCTGATTCGTGGAAATTATTGTTGATTTTCATTTTAAGATTAAACGAATCTCACGATTTGGGTTAGAAAACTAGGGACTGGGGTTTATCCATTAGTGGTTAGGGTATAGTATCATGCCCAAAATTCCGGTTATTTCCTTATCTAAATAGCAAAATTCAAACGGGCGTACGGTAGTCTAACGTACGCCCGGGCGTACGCTAGCCTGAACCATATATATATATATATATGAAACTCACTAAAGGATTCACTTTTCCAGAAGCAAACAAAACACAATCTCGAGAAAAAGTTTGTATCAAATTGAATAAATCCTTGTATGGATTGAAACAATCTGGACAGATGTGGTACAATTGTCTCAGTGAATATTTGATGAAAGAAGGATACAAGAATGACCCTATTTGTCCATGTGCTTTTCTAAAGAGATCGGGTAGTGAGTTTGTTATAATATCAGTTTATGTTGATGACATAAACATCATTGGAACTCCCGAAGAGCTTCCAGAAGCAGTTGATTGCTTGAAGAAAGAGTTTGAAATGAAAGATTTAGGAAGAACATAGTTTTTCTTGGATTACAGATTGAACATTTGAAGGATGGTATTTTTGTGCATCAAGAAGGATAATGTTGAAAAGGTGCTTAAGCGATTTTATATGGACAAATCACACCCGTTGAGTAATCCAATGGTTGTAAGATCACTTAATGTGAAAAGAGATCCATTTAGACCTCGAGAAAGTGATGAAGATATGCTTGGCCCTGAAGTGCCATATCTTAGTGCGATAGGAGCATTAATGTATCTAGCCAGTCACACACGACCCGATATATCGTTTGTTGTGAATATATTGGCAAGATATAGCTCTTCTCCCACTAAAAGACATTGGGATGGAGTTAAACATTTACTCTGTTACCTTCGAGGAACGATAGATATGGGCTTGTTCTATTCGAGTGCATCGAAGTTGGATTTAGTGGGATATGCAGATGCAGGATATCTCTCAGATCCCCACAATGGTAGATCTCATACAAGATATTTTTTCACTTGTGGTGGTACAACCATTTCGTGGCGATCCACAAAACAAACTATAATAGCCACATCATCCAATCATGCTGAAATCTTAGCAATTCACGAGGCAAGTCGTGAATGTGTTTGGTTAAGATCTATAATTCGACACATCAGAGAATCGTGTGGAATATCTCTAGGAAAAATGAACCCGACGATCATGGATGAAGATAATACAGCATGCATTGCTCAATTAAAGGAAGGATAAATTAAAGGAGATAGAACAAAAGATTTTCCACCCAAGTTCTTTTTCACTCATGATCTTCAAAAGAGTGGTGAAATAATTGTTCAAAAAGTTCGTTCAAGTGAGACTCTAGCAGATTTATTCACCAAGTCACTCCCGACGACAATCTTTGTAAAGCTTGTTCGTGAAATTGGAGTTCGACGACTCAAAGACCTGAGCTAATGTGGTCATGAGGGGGAGCATATACGCGCTGCACTCTTTTTGCCTTAACCATGGTTTTTCCCACTGGATTTTCCTGGTAAGGTTTTTAATGAGGGGGCATGAGATAATGTAATAATGCAATCTAGTGGTCATACAAGGGGGAGTATTATGTAAATATTTATATATGGATGACTAATGGCCTACCACATTAGATGCTCACTTGGGAGTTACATGTAACTCCCATTCCTATATCATTATCTCTAATTCATATGCATTGATGCAAGGATGTAATGGTTACCAAAGGGTTCCTATAAATAGAGCACAATATTGTATCACAAATAAACTATGAATAAGAAGAACTATTCCCCTCTCTTCTCTTGTGTCTTTCCCTCTCTAATCTTTTCTTGTAGTTGTTTATATTTTCCATTAGTTTTATTGTAACATCCCTGCCCTCGTACAAATTATTATGACGTGTTTGTGATCAGGTTACAAAAATTGGTCTTTTGAACAAAAAAGAAAGTGAATAATGAAAGTTTTAGACTTAATTGCAAGTGAAGGAAAGTTTAGGTCCAAATGGACAATTTGGAGGGCTGGAGAATTCTAGATAAGGGAGATAAAAATCTGCCTCATCCTCTTATCTCTCATTTTCTTCTCATCCCTTCCCCTCACTCTCTCCCACGTCTCTCTCTTGCTCTCTTTCTTCCACCTGGTTTCACCACCCCAAAAACCACCATCCCTTTTCAGAAACAAATAGTAGATAGATAGAGAGAAAAGGATATCAAGGAAAGAAAGAAGAAGGGAAACAAGGGGTGCTGCCAATTTTCGTCCAGCAGCAGGACAGCTTGTGGGAAGGACGATTCTGGACAATTGAGCCGTTGGATCGTTCTGATATTTGGATGTTTTGTTTCATATGTCATTTTCTACGATTGGACCGTTCGGATCATTGTTATGATTTCTGGTTCATGTAGGAATGTCGCTGGACAGAAGGGGTGCGACATTGCTTTCCGGTAGCAGAACAGCAGATTAGAGGTAAGATCTTGTACGAAGTAACCGTTGGATCTTTCTATAAATTTGTTATAATGTTAAGTATATAAGTTTCTTTGATTTGACCGTTCGGAACTTAGTTTTGATTTCGGAGTGGTCAGGAACAATTGTTAGAAGTAGGGGAGTTGGATTGAAGTGAGAAGAAAGTAGCTGACAGTTTCGAAACGTCAATTTCAAATGATTTCTGGGCTCAGAAAACTGATCCAAATGGTCTGAAATTTGGATATGTTGTAGCCCTATGAATCTAGTTTCATTAGCAACAAGAATCAACTGATTTGGTTAAGTATCAAGGGAGAAATTACCGAAATGATGAAGCAGGGTAAAGTGTACGGTCATATGACTTCCCTAGTGGCCTTATCGACATGCATGGACACAACCATGATTTTGATGACTGTATGCGTATCTTGGTGCTTGAATAACTTGGAAATCTTGTATATAAAGGTAAGGATCAAGCCGGGGCCTCATCCAAAGGCAAGGGTATAGCCGAGTGAAGATAAAACTGTGAGTAGATTCTAATCTTAAATCTACTTCAACATAATAACAGTATTCGGGTCATGAAGCGGCCCGTATACATATAGGGGTCAGGAAGCGGCTCCGGTATAATATGTGAATTCATGGGAAATGATATGGCTAGGTGATATGGCTTATTGGTGTTTATTCATTATCTGCATTTGGTATGAAGTTGGAAATGCGTGAATTGTGGAAGGGATATGGAAAGACATTTTGTTGGTTGATCTTGTGTATGCCTCTGCAAATTTCTACTATGCCTCTGCAAATCATTGCTGCCTCTGCAACTAACATTTCGTAGAATTAGCATGATTATGTGATCTAATGATGAAAATGGTTGAGTGATCATGAGGTAGAATGAAATTAGCATATGGGTTGGTTTTGTTGATTTATTGTGTGGGTTATGAGTAAGTAGTCGAGCTTGCGAACTCGTCCTGTCTACTTAGATTTGGAGTAAGCCATTAGGCTTACTAATCCTGTTTTGCTTGAATAACTCGGAGTAAGCTCCTCAGTATACATTTCATTCTGCTATGATCGAGGGTGCAAAAGCACTATGAATGCTTCTAAGCATATAGTGTATAAGTGAGCCTACGAGTTAATGATTATTGACAGGTGTCTAAGTGAACTATTAATGAAAAGAGATGAATACATAAGAATAGGAAAAAGGGCTTCATGATGCCTCGGTACAGTAGTGTGTCCTGTTTGTATCGATAGGGGCAAATCCCACGATACTCCTGTTTGAGCGCTCGTGCTCCGCACCGTGCCGATTGGGTGACGACCCACGGTACTCATGTTCTGTTCAGTTAGCCGGGCTGGGGTAATCCCGTGGCGTCTCCTGTTTTCTATCGGTCCGGGTTGCGTCCCGCGATACTCCTGTTAGTGCGAGCACTCCTATTTCGTGCCTTGTGCACTCCTATTTATACCGGACTAGGTTTTGTCCCGCGGTACTCCAGTTATCTGATGGCTGTACATGATTACCCTGCAGCCTTCCACTACTGTACCACCCGGGGAGGATATCATTTAGCAAATTTGAAAGTGAAATTGTATAAGTAAACTGTCTCTGCCTGTCATATGTTGTATGTGCTTTGACTGTGATGGGATGTGAATATGTGAACTTTATTGATTCAGTGGAATGAAAAGTGGGATAAACAGCTTAAGTCCTGTTATGTGCTCGGGTGTTTCTGCCCGATAGTGTTTTTGTATTAATGTCGATCTGAGCTTAGAATTTATTCACTGAGCGACGACTCATCCTCCGTCACCATTTTTCCTCAGATCAAGAGTAGAAGTAAGGCGTGTACTGTAGATATCGGGACTCAAGCTTGAAGGGAAGCCATGAGGTGGGCGGAGGACTCCGAACTCCTTGAATGTTTTATGCTGTGTGGATTTTGTAATAAAGCAGACTTCCCCAGTTTTCTGTTTCGACTCTATTGAAAATGTAAATTATGGTTTGAAGTTCGGAAAAAAAAATACATATATAAAGCTCGGGCCCGAGAATGTTTAAACTCGATGTTTGTTTTACTATTTCGTTTTGTAATGTAAAGTATGGGTGTTTTTAACATTTATAACACGTTATCAGCACGAGACTCTTCCTTTTGAAAACATAATTGTGCTACTCAAGGTATGTCGATTCTCCCAAATTGTTTCTTTTATTGTCCTATTTCAATTTACATATCAACTACACCCTTGATCTTGAGTGGATCATATGAATCATTGTCAGTTGGACGTGCTTTATAAAAAATGAATGTCAAAAAACGATTTGTGAATGTCTATCATTCTCAATTAGATGCATTTGAAATTTTATTTTGAATTAATTATTATATCTAATTTAACATATTCCTCGGTGGATCTTGGAACCCACTTCATTGTACTTTCCATCCATTCGTGAATGCGGCCCAATGCTCTATTTTATTTTGAATCCGCCGCTGCCGTTAATCATGGGTATACTTGTCACGAAAAAAATTCCTATGATAAATAATAGCACTAATCACGGAATTTGGTCATTCAATCGCAGGAATTCCGATGATGAAACAATTTTCCCGTAGCGTGATTAGATTGGAAGAGATTTTGCTACTTCATTCGAAGGGTGCTCTGATTTGTTGATGTTTTTCCCCCCTTCTTAAACTTGGTAGTTGAATATCCCTTCCGAACATCTGATAAAATTGGAACTTGTTAGTTGAATGTTTGCGGGCTAGTTTAGTTTCGGCAAGTTCGACTAAATTGGGGGACCAGATCAGGTCAGTAACTGATGGGTCAGTAACCCATCAGTAACCTCTTCTCTTGTCGCCACGTGTCAATTCCTTTTTTTATTTAAATTAAATACGAAAGGACAATAAGGTAAAATTGCTCCTACCTCTATTTATTGCTAACGCTGACTTTTTATCGGATCACATCAGCGCCTTCTCTCTCCTCGAAAAACCTTTAATTTTCCTTCTCTTAATCTTTAACGGACGATTTCTCACTCGTTTTAAGTCGGAATTTAATTTTTTTTTGCACAGTTAGATCAGATTAATTGTGCTCTTCAAAATGATATCCACTTTGATATTTTTTGGACATAAATTTTTTTTTTCAGTTATTACCAGTCTATACCATATGGTATTGACTGGTATTGACCATACCATATGGTATGAAAAAAATTTAACATATCAATATATATTACGTTACCACCCAATACCATATGGTATAGTGTGGTAATATCAATATATATTTCGTTACCACCCAATACCATATGGTATAATATGATAATATCAATATATATTACGTTACCACCCAATATCATATGGTATAGTGTGGTAATATCAATATATATTTCGTTACCACCCAATACCATATAGTATAGTGTGGTAATATCACACAATACCATACAATATCATATGGTATAGTGTGGTAATATCAATATATAATTCGTTACCACACAATACCATACATTACCATGTGGTATAATGTGGTAATATCAATATATAGTTCGTTACCACACAATACCATACATTACCATATGGTATAGTGTGGTAATATCAATATATATTTCGTTACCACCGAATACCATATGGTATAGAGTTATAATATCAATATATATTATCTAAAAGAAAAAAAAAACAGGAGGTAGAGAAAAAAGATCGTCTTGTGTCGCCTCTCATTTCCTCTTCCGCAAAAAAGGACACCAAAATGCCGAAAAATGAGAAATATCGAAATTGAGGCCAATGAGATGATGAAGAGAAGAAATGCAATGAAAAAGAGTGGCTCCAATTTTTATTCGTCATGAAAAAAAATAAAGAAGAAGAGAAGAGAGTAGATTTAGATCTAGAAATGAGATTGAGAGAGAAAAATGAAGAGAAAAAGAGAGAGGATCTGGAAAAGAGATTGGGAGAGAAAAAGGAAGAGAGAAGGAAGATAGAAAGTTGCAGAGAAGTGATTTCTCTTTCCTTTTTTAAAAGTGCAGCCATTAAATACGAAATAAAATAAAATAAAGAATTTAATATATAAACGGACAAAAAGTCCGGCCCAACCACATGATTGCCTATATTATTTTAAAAGTCCGGCCCAACCACATAATTGCCTGCCTCTTAGATCTATGGTCCCTATTCATTACTGACATGTCAATAACCACTTGGTTACTGAGCCTGCGGCCCTAAATTGGGCATCCAAAGTTGGGTCTGTTAATCCATGTGTCCCAAGATTAGGCCCGTTGTGTGTTATTATCTTAGAGCCGAGGATCCTATCCAAAAGAACACATTCCTCCTCTTTTAACTCTCAAAAACTCTATCCAGTATCCACTCTCTCCCCCCGAAAGACCACTTGGCAGCACCACCATAGTCCTGCAATTACCAAACGACACGAACCATCCTATCCCTCTTACACGTGTCCTCTTATACCCTATAAACCGACAACTCCACTCCTTTCCCCCACTTCCACGAATACGACAAACCATATTATACAAAAACCCGACACCCCGGCCAACACATTTCACTTACCCACACAACTTTTGCATTTACCACCTACAATCTAGAGAGATGCAGCAACAGCGAGAGGACGCCGGCGCCATGGCGGCGAAGAGCCAGCAGCAGCACGCCGGCGAAACAACCAGGCTACTGGACAGGAAAGTGAAGGAGCTGGTGGTGGAGAACAAGCGGCTGGTGGAGGTGCCCTACACGGCGTCGCTGGCCGACACGATGAACACCCTGGTGGCGAACCGGGTGGTGGCGGTCCCCGTGGCGGCGCCGCCGGGCCAGTGGATCGGGGCGGGCGGGTCGATGATCATGGAGTCCGACAAGCAGACGGGCGTGGCGAGGAAGCACTACATAGGGATGGTCACCATGCTCGACATCCTGGCCCACATCGCCGCCGCCGACGACCAGGTGGACCAGATGAACGGCGGCGCCGGGGATGACGAGTCGGCGTCGTTTTCAGATGAGAAGCTGGCGGCGAAGATGTCGGCGCCTGTTTCTGCCGTCATCGGGCACTGCCTCGAAGGGCTCAGTCTGTGGACCCTCAACCCCAGCACCAGGTTTCAGTTGTTTTATATATATAGATAGGGAGTTTAATTATGTTAATTAATTAACTCTAGTTTATATTGATGAATATAGTTTGGTAAAATGTACATATTTAATTGTTTCAAGATATATTTGATTAACTTTAATTTAAAAAAAAAAATTCTTGAAAAGGGAAAAAATAGCAATGTTAATATTCATTATTTATCCACCTCAACATGATATCATAACTTTCAAATTATGTATTAATTTTTATTTTTCTATCCCTAATTGTCATAAAATATCAATTTAGTACCCGCAATTATTTTTTTCTATAGTTTAGTACCTAAACTATACTTTTTTGTACAATCCGGTTTAGAGATTTTGGTACTAATTCATGTATTTTAGTACTTTCATATTTTTTCCTTGCTTTATAGTATGTCAACATCTAGAATCTTACAAATAGATCCTATCTGTTATGACTAATTTTGAAGTAATTGATTATTGGCAAAGACATTAATATACTTCTAATCTCGTATCGAGATCAACCAAGATAGAAATATAGCATAGGGTCGAACTCTTTGGTGTCAAAGGGACTAATTTCAGACAAGTAATTGTTGATGTGAATTTATATTTCAAAAAGCTATGAATTTCAACGAATTGCTCAACATTAAGGAGTTCAACAAATTGCAGCATCATGGACTGCATGGAAGTACTGAGCAAAGGGATCCACCGTGCTCTGGTCCCCGTCGACAGCCACATGGCAAACGTGGCCGGCGTGGAGCTGGTGGAGTCGGCCTCGAGCTACAAGATGCTGACCCAGATGGACCTGCTCAAGTTCTTCATGAAGGAGACGGACAAGAAGCACCTACATGACCACAGCGAGCTGCAGCGCACCATGGCTCGAACCTTGGCCGAACTAGGAGCCGTCAACGAAAACGTCTACGCCATCACCGGCCGCACCAGGGTCATCGACGCCATCAAGTGCATGAAGGCCGCGCTGCTGAACGCCGTCCCCATCGTCGTCGCCTGCAACTCCATCGAGGACGATTCCAAGCAGCTCATAAACGTAAGCACTCCCCACCACTTTTCTTAGAAATGCTGTGCGCTGGATAACTTTTATGATATATCTTAGCTATAGCTAGCTAAATCGTGGCTAGAGGTGGAAATTTTCCAAGATTGTATCCGTATATATCGGAAAAGTCAGTGATAAGATATTTTATGTTTGAAATTGTAGTTTTATTATGGTTTGATAGCTTCATATCATTAAATATCGTTTAGTATCTAATCCACAATTTTGTGATTTCCCAATCTTTAATAATTTTTATATAATCCACAATCCAATTTTAGCTAAAATATTCAATTAATTCAATCTATTTAATAGGTGGATTCGTGTTGGATTCATATATACCGTAAAATTTAGTATGTACTTTTTTAATATGTACATTTTAATACCTAAATCATAAATTTTTAACTTAAATATCATTGAAAATTTCATTTTGGCACCTGAAACTTTTATTATGATATCTTAGCACCTAAAATTTCAAAACATTACATATTGGTTTAATGTTTAGATGTCACTTGGATTCATGAGTTTGATCCACCAACCCATTCGATCTAATTCACGAATCTCCAATACTTTTGATTAGAGGTGGCAATTAGGATCAAATTCATGGATTAAATCCAATCCATCTACATAATTATCCAACTAATCCAATTCCTTTGAATCTAATTCAGTTCGATTGGTGGATTCATGGATTTATTTCGTGGATTGTTGCTAAATCACAGTTTAGTATAAATATAATTTCAGTATTTTACATTTTGGTACGCAAATTTTTTTATTAGACAAAAATCATCATTGAAAATATACATTTTACATAATTTTTTGCATATTGACATTTTAATGGCTAAACTTTTTAAAATTTACACAATGGTCCGAGGAGTGGATGTCATTTGGATACATAGATCATTTCACCAATTCATTTGATTCATGAATCTATCAATCCAATTCGTCAATCCTTTCGTCTCGATTCGTCAATTCAGCAATGCAATCTATTTGTCGCATCTCATTTAGGATTTGATTTGGGAGATTTCATTCTACTGGCTGATATTCGGTCCATGCAGGGGAAAGGAAGGAAGCTGATAGGGACGTTCTCGTCGACCGACCTGAGAGGATGGCACTTCGCGACGCTGCAGACCTGGCTGCCGTTGACTGCTCTGGAGTTCACGGAGACGGTGGTCTCGTCGCCGCTTCATGCTGTTTCTCCCGACTCTCCGACCACGGAGTCGAGGGAACTCGTTACCGCCACTGCCGGTTCCAGTCTCCTGGAGGTGATCCAGAAGGCCGTTACCAAACACGTGCACAGGGTGTGGGTGGTGGACTCGGAAGGTCTGCTGACGGGAGTCGTTTCGTTGACCGATATCGTCAAGGCGCTAAGGATGTCTTTGCTTGGGAATGAAGCTGTCTAGCTAGGATATGTGTTTGCCTTGCCTGTGCTTTTTCAGTTGGCTTGGGGCTGAGGTTTTGTTGAACTTTGGCATGGATGAATCAGTAGGCCCGAGCTGAGACTAATACATGTTCACGGTGTTTGTAATATAGAGCTCAATGGTAGGCCCGAGCTGAGACTAATACATGTTCACGGTGTTTGACTCTTTTTCTGTACGTATTAGATGCCCAAGATTCAGCTTGCTTAAGAGAGAAAATGGAACTAATTAGCGTCAAATCTCTTATTGAATAGATCTGCAGGTCTATAAAATGTTCAAAATATTGATACCAGACATTGATAAAAGGAGTCATTAATTAGGTAGAGCAAGTGGCGGAGCCCGAAAATTCACATGGGATGCTTTTATCATATCATAAAAAATCATTTATATAATAGAAAAGTCAACTCTAAATGAAACAAAAAGTCAACAACGCAATACTCTAAATTCATACAATTACAAAAAAATAGTTTCACGTACACCGGTTACAACGTCAAACAAATAAGTTATGTACATACAAGTTAAGACTTCTATTCATCAAATATTCCAAATTAGAACTGAGAAGTAGATTGAAATTGATTTCGCGAAACAAACAAGTGAACTTCAATTGGTAATTATTCACTTTCAGTTTTGTTTAAACAAAAACAAGAAATTCCTCTCTTGTAGAGCTACAAAAGAAATGAGCAAGTTTAACAAAAGACAACAATTTATTACTATAAATAAAGAAAGTGTATTGCATAACAAAACTTACACGGGTGAGATGGTACAAAATTTTTCTTACAACTGAATGGTCACTAATTCAAATATGTATATACCCCTACTGGGGAATCTTTTTCCTCCTCTCCAAGTGGCTCCGCCACTGAGTAGAGCATTGGACTATGATTGAGTAAGGTGATGATTTTGCTCAACGGAGGATGAGCTAGAACGAGTGGTCTGGAAACCAGAATTTTCAAGAATATTAAGGATGTACTTGCATCGATTCGGGATGATACTTTCAGTAGAGCGAGCCACTTAAATTTACTTGAAATATCTCAAAGAACCCAAATCTTTAGTGATGTAACGATGATAATAAAACTGCTTGATACAATCAATGAAGGCAATGTTGTTACTAGCTAACATTACATTGTTGACATAGCAACAACAAAGATATCTTTCCGCCAAAAAAATAAAAAGCGAGTGATCAATATAATGCGTGAGGTACGAAAACAGAGCTCATATAGAGCTATCGTAAACTTGCAAAACTATTTACGCGATGTTTGGTGAAATCTATTGATGGATTTGTGAAGCCGGCAAACTTTTATATCACTTTTTTTGTTGTTGTTCTCATACATAGAGATGGGAGATTAGGGATGACAATGCGGTGGGTTTGAATGGAGTTTTCTTAAACCATGCACATTTATATCCACATTTTCAAATACTCAAACTCATATCCACCTCATACTCATGTATGGGAGATTTTTGCAACCCAAGATCCACGATTTTCGATTATCCGTGACTAATACCCGCTCTGTATATCCAATATTTATATATACCTAGTATTCATCATTTAGATCTCCAATTAATTATAACATTAAGTTGACATAATAAATCATGAAGTAAACAAATAACAATTATTGTTAGTACGAGTAGACTCCGGTAAAAAATAAATTCGACCGGACAGCCTATGATATACTTTCACAAACCGCCGTGAGTAGTTTGTGAGATTTGGGAAATTAGCTGGTGAGGGATCACATGGGTCACACAACAAAAATGTAGGCGAAATGATTATACCCACTTCCCTTGTATTGAAATCCCATCTAAACCCTAATAATGGCTTAATTAAGATAGGAGTCAGGCAAGGCAGGGAGCCATTTATCCAAGAAAGGAAAACAGAGCATCTTTCTTCCACATGCTGATATTTGTTTCCATTCAAAAGCTAGTTGTTAGCTTGATTGAACCGAATCTGGCCATACATCAAGTGACCAACTTAAGTTGATGTTTGCTAGATTGTCCTTTTATGATTTAAATTGAATTTTCTAAAATCCTTTGAGGGGTGACATTCATAAAAGTTTATCACACTGCAACTACGTGGTAAGGTGCAACTGGGTTGGGACTTGGGAATCTCCATAATTTGGTTCCTAAATTTGACCATGACCACATTCCAATATTGAGGGGGTCAAAGAGAAAACCAAACCATACTTTTCATCTCTTTTAACTATTGTTTGGACCACCTCCTAATGAGTATGTAATGTATATTAACAGGCAATAGAGATATATACTTTAATATATTTTAAAAAATAATGTTCAATTTACTGAGCTTTGGAATTGGAATTCATACTTTTATTGCATGCATGTCATTAGAGATAAGCTTCTTAGATAAATAAAATAATGACAATAATTAGAATGGTGGGAGGGGTCATTGTAGCAGAAAAAGGCGAGCTTTGTTATGTAAATATTGATATATGAATGACCAATGACCTACCATATTAGATGAACATTTGGAACTTACATGCCAACTCTTTTCACGAGAAGTGTGAAAAGAGGAGAAAGGGATTTGTGTGTGTTTTCTTCTTCTTTTTGCAGGAACCCGGTTTCAGAAGGCAAGGATGGCGAGGCTCTCTTGGGGAAGCACTTTCAACAAATCGAAATCAACCACAATCTTGTCTCGATGGAACGCATCGCTGGAACCAGAGGAATAATGTTCAAGCTTTCTGTTGGGGAGAAATCGGGCAAAGTCCACCACGTCCTTGTGGAATGGGCGATAAGCTCACTCCAAACGGTGGAGATGAAAGATTGGGTTTTCCCGACTCGTAATGTTAAGAGAAGTGAAGGAAGAGTCATTCACATTGGTAGATTTGAGAATCGCAAAGGGAGCTTCCTAAAGATATCGGAATCGTGGAGGGCGAATAACATAGTTTATGTTATTATCCCGGTGGAAGGGGGGGGGGGGGTTCTGGAAGGATGAAGGAATTTGATTAAGCTTCTCCAATCGTGTTCATCTCCTAACATCTTACCGTCAAACAAGACCATGGGTGCAATGAACATAACTCTATCTGCCCCAAAATCTTGCGAAGATGTTCTTCGGGTTAAAGATTTCTGCACCCGTGGAGAGGCAAGGATTTTTCTGGAAGGCAATGAGAAGTTAATTGATGTGGGCAGTGACGGAGTTAAGGAAAGGTTGGAGATGCTCGAACGGTGTGTTGTCGGACCTTCCAGAGTTCCAATGGTGGTTTCTTTTCGAATGTCGTCTACCCGCGTTCAAATCATGGGCTAAGAACAGATGGGCAATTTCAGATAATCACGAGATCTGGGATGGTGGTAATGGTTGTTGGCTTCCAGCGCTACGGAGGCAAAACACATCAGTAACCTGGGAGGGGATCGCTTCGAAAACCTCTACGTCAACCTGAAGCTATGGTCGGAGTCGACCTTGCAAGATGTTGGTCTGCATCCTTCGGAGCAATGAATATTTGTGTTTGGTATTCCAGTCCACATCAAAAGTTTGAATCTCTGCAAGGTCATCGGAGATTTTTGTGGGAAATTTATTGGCGTCGATTGGACCTCTTGGAGCTCCTCCTTCATCAGAATCAGGATTGAGGCGACAAAATTTATACCGGAGGAGGTGCCAGTGCGCTTCGGTTCAAAATTATTTTATCTCAAGGTCCGGCTCACCCTATCTCCTTGCCCGACAACCAAGACTGGCGGCGACGATGTACTTTCAGGCTGGAAGACAAAGAGTCAGGGTCTCTGTGTTGCATCCCCCGATAAAGAGGGTGCTTTGAGTCTCCCATGCAGGGCGGCTACGTCTGATGCCCCCACTAGTTTGGAATCAGAATCTTCTCTTTCGCCTGGGCCGAGTGGGCTAGGTCTCGGCAAAGTCAGGAGGAAAAAAATTTGGATCCGTAAAGCAGGCCCACTTCCTAACCCCTCTCCAGTACCCCGACCTACCCAGAAAACCTCAGCCAACCCATTATCCACCGATCTGTCATTACCGAAGACTTTTGTTCAGCCCAATTTGTTTTTAGCCTCTTCCCTTCAGCCCACAAACTTGAGCCAAAACCTTCGTTGCCGATCACCCGCAATTAATCTCCCTTACCTAATATTTGGTCTTCTCAACAAGCTTTCCTTCCCACTCCTTATAACACCCTTTCGCCCTCCTGTATTCATCTTTCAGGATAACATCTCCTTTTCTCACCAATCTCTTACATTTTGTTTTCCTCTTAAACCACCCTAGTTCATGTTATCCATTACCGCTTCTCTTTCCCCTCCCACAAACTCTCCCCACCCAGGTCTTGCCTCCCTATCCCTTCCCTCAAATACAGACCCCTCCCTTTCGTCATCTCATTTATGTTCTCCTCAGTTCGAACCACCCAATTCTATTTATTCTCCCTTCCCGTTGGATTTTCCAACCTACATTGAGCCGGATTTCCAGACTTCGCAACAAAGGATGGGGGAGCAAGTTGTTGATTTCACTTTATCCTCCCCTCCTTTTGACTTTGAAAGCCTTGCTAGTTGCAGCCAGATCTTGGGAGAATTATTCAAGTTGAGAATTGAGGATGGCAAGTCAAATGAGCTGGTGGTGGAGCACGTGCAGAGGTATGCTTCACTCACCTATGAACGGAGAAAGAAGGCTCACAAATCAAATACTGAGATGGAGATTCATCGCCTTGGCCCCTTGGTTAACTCGATCCAAGGCCGCGAAGCAGGAGGATGAAGGTTTTGAATCGCCCGTGAGTTTAACATAATGGTCAAGTCTCTTATAGCGTGGAATGTTAGGGGGTTGGGTTGTGATCAAAAGAGAGATAGAATCAAGAGGATCTTGGGGAGGAGGAAACCAAATATGGTTGGACTTGTTGAGTCTAAGTTGGATTCTAGTGACCAAAATTTGGTGTGAACTCCCTTAGTGGTAGAAGAAATATAGAGTAGGCTGTAAAGAATGCAGTGGACAGCAGGGGGGGCATTATTATCCATTGGGATGACTTAGCTTTCAAGAAACTTGACTTGCAAGAGAGGGAGTTCTGTCTTTCGGTGCAACTTGAAGACATTCAAGATACACATATATTTGACCTGATTATTGTCTACGGGCCGCAAGACAGAAGGGATAAACTGAGGTTTATTGATGAATTGAAGACCGTTTGTCAGAGCTGCTATAATCCCTTATGCATTATGGGTGATTTCAACCTTCTGAGATCACATGAGGAATACAGGGGAGCTTCAAGAAGCTCTGACCTCTTGTTGGAGTTCAATACATTGATCGCAAATACTGCTATGATTGATCTCCCCTTGGTGGGAGCTTCTTTCACTTGGAGCAGTGAAAGAGCTATTCCTTCTTTATCGAGAATTGATCGTTGCTTGGTGTGTCCGTTGTTTGATAGTATGAGACCAGATTGAAGACTTATTGCCTAGAAAGGGTCGAGTCAGATCACAATCCGGTGCAACTCATTTGGGGAGAAGGAGACAGGATTCATAGATCTTGGCGATTTGAAAACATGTGGCTGGTTGAGGATTCTTTCAACGAGCATATGGTTGTTTGGTGGAGAAATCAACCTGTCGGGAGTGGTTAATTATTCATTATGGGACAGAATTTCAAACATTTGAAGACCCTTATTAAGACGTGGAATAGGGATGAATTCGGCAGAGTGAAAAAAAGATAACAGAGATTCTTGAACAAATCAAAGAGATCGACGGGAAGAAGGAGGAGGGCAACCTGTGTGAAGAAGACTTACTGAATAGGAATACTCTTAAATGCAATATGGATAGAGTTTTGATGATGGAAGAGATCTTTTGGCGTCAGAAATATAGGGAATTTTGGCTTAAGGTGGGCGACATGAATACAGGTTTTTTCCACAAAGTGGCAAACCACAACCGGAGAAGGAACTTGGTCTCAAATATCAAGGTGGGTGATGTGCTTGTCGAAGGTAAAGATGAATTAAAAGAGGCTTGTGTTGGGCACTTTTCGGCTGTTTTCAAAGAAAGATACCCTAGACGTCCTATCCCAGCTCAGTATGGTGGTGGTTTTAGAGTTTCTATGGAAGATGAGGCATTTATCAAAAGACCCTTCTTTGAAGAGGAGGTTTGGAATGTTGTTAGGCGATGCAGAGGAGACAAAGCACCAGTACTAGATGGCTTCTCTTTGGCCTTTTTCAAAAAACAGTGGGATGTCATTAAAGATGATGTGCTGAAAGCCTTTGGTGACTTTTTTAATCGAGGTAAGATACCCAAGAGCATTGCCCATTCTTTGATCTGCCTGATTCCCAAAAAGGAGGCAGTGGAGGATATTAGAGATTTTCGCCCTATAAGTCTCCTCAATAGTATGAATAAGTAGATTTCAAAGACCATCACTTAGAGACTTAGGCCAATCTTGCTTAAAGTAATTTCGAGGAACCAGTTTGGTTGCATTAAAGAAAAACAAATTCATGAAGCATCTCTTATTGCGAATGAGTTGATCGACAACAGGAAGAAGAGTGGTAAATCGGTGCTGGTTTTCAAATTGGATATCGAAAATGCCTTCGACAACGTCAACTGGAGTTGCCTCTTCAATATTCTGGAAAGCATGCACTTCTCTCATAAAGCCAAAGTTTGGATTCAGGGGCTTGTCACGGCTCCCTATCTTTCGGTTCTGGTTAATGGTGAAGCTGCTGGCTTTTTCAAAACTGAGAAAGGGCTGAGGCAGGGTGACCCTATGTCCCCATACCTTTTTTTGTTAGTGATGGATGTCCTCTCGGTTATGCTTGAATCTCTAAGAAGGGCTGGGTTGTTTACTGGATTTTTTGCAATGAACTGGACTCGAGAGGTGAAGTGACTCACTTGCCCTATGCAGACGACACTATCATTTTCTGTGATGATAACGAAAACCATGTGTTGAATCTCCTATCTACCTTAGTCTGTTTCCAAGCTGTCACAAGTTTGAGAATTAATGTTGAAAAAAGCACTATGTATCCAGTCGAAAACGTTCAAAATCCTGCCTTATATGCTAACATTTTTTTTTGTGGCTAGGGCTATCTTCCCGTAGTTTATCTTGAGCTGCCCCTGGGTGCTAGCCCGAATTCTTCCTCAATATGGAATTGTGTCTTGAGCAGATTTCAGTAGAGATTGAAAAATTGGAGAGGTAACTTCCTTTCCCTTGGTGGACGAATCACATTGTGCAAGAGCAGCCTTGCAAGTCAGCCTTTGTTTATGTTCTCCTTGCTAAGGGCTCCCAAGAATATAATTCACAAAATGGAGAATATGATGAGGAATTTCATCTGGTCAGGGGTCCAGCATAAGAACAAGTTTCATTTAGTCAAATGGGACACCTGCAAAAACACAAGGGACATGGGTGGTTTGGGAATTTTGGATCTCAATTGTATGAATATCGCTTTTCTTTCTAAATGGTTTTGGAAGTATGCTTCGGAACCAGATGCGTGGTGGAGGCAACTTATTGATTCCAAGTTTCCTAACCCCACCTCTGTCTGGAAGGTGGGAACTGATGGAGGTCTAGTTGGCTGCTCGATTTGGAAGAGAATTATGAAGGAGGAACCACAATTTTAGAAGTTTGCTTGTATTTCCCCGGGTGGTGGTGCTTGGGTGTCCTTTTGGAATGATTGTTGGTGGCCGGGTGTGATTATGAAAGAGGCCTTCCCAAGAGTTGCGGCTGCCTCTTCAAATCCTGAAGCTTGGGTGTCCAATATAATATCCTTTCAAAATGGGAGTGTGGGGTGGGATTTGCATTTATCAATTAATTTGAGGGGTGGGGCTGAGTGTGAAAGGCTGAATCTCTACCATTTTTTATCCACTTTACCCTCTGATCTTATTTCTACAGGTCCCGCGAAGCTTATTTGGAGGCCCTGTTTGAAGAATGGTTTCTCTGTGAAGTCCATGTATAATGCTCTCATCAAATCAAGATTCAATGATGAAGATGACTTTCTCGATGCTTTAATTTGGAGACAGGAAATCCCCATGAAAGTGAAGGCCTTTCTGTGGCTGGTGATACATAAACGTATACTGACTCAGGACAATCTCAAAAGGAAAGGATGGATTATAGCGAACAGGTGTCCGCTATGTGAAGCGGAGGAAGAATCCATTAATCATATCTTCTGTCATTGTTCTGTTAGCAGGAGCATTTGGGTATGCCTTCAACATATGTTGCAAATTGTAGGTCCTTTCCCGGCTGATTTTACTTTGATCATTAGAGGCTAGCCTGCGGGTAATGAGAAGACCTGGAGGTGTTGGTTTGTGATGGGAATTCTTCACGCCTTTATTTGGGAAGTTTGGAAAGAAAAGAAACACCTGAATCTTCCAAGACAAGACAAAGAACCTGGTGGTTGTCTTCTACAAAATATGCAGATCACTGCTCAACTGGGTTCCTGCAGCTGGGGTGTTAAGCGAGCAGCAGCGCTTGGAGTGGACTTCCATGATTTATCGTGCTTGGCCTCTGCAGACAACGTATGACAGTCGCGCTGTACAGAATAATGAGCTGCAGGATGAGGTTGATATGACGGTTGTTGCTTTGTAGTGATTCAGATGGCTTTCCTTCCCGTTCTTCCTGGCTCTTTTGTGTTTCTTCATTTAGAAGTGGGTGAAGGGTCGGTTTGGCCCGGCTAACACCATCTCTTGTTGTTTTGTTGCTTCTTGTCTAGTATGTGGGATCATATCTTGTGATCCCTGCCACTGTCATTGAGTTGCATTTTGCTTTTGTACTTTAACTTGTTTGTCTTTCCCCTTTTCTTTTTAATAAGTTTTCATCGCCATTATAATTAATAAATAAATAAAGTCATGATAACATAATGTACCCATTGTACATTGAAATGCATAATGAAATGCAAATATAAATTTAAAATCACCTAGTTAGTGATGGTATTGTTCCAAATAAAGCTTATTTAATTTTCATAATTGTAGTATATGATTCTTATTTTCTTTTATGTTTTATTGTGACGTTATATTTCATGCATAATTTAATTTGATAACTTTTATATAGAACAATTAACTTGATAAATTCATCATTTTTGTCTTAAGTTTGAAATATTCACATGTGTTATTTTAGTATGTTTTTGTAATTTATGAGTGTTAGAAAAATTACATATAAACGATATGGTAGAGTACATAAATAAGAAAAAGCTTCCGAAGAGCTTATATTTGGTTACTAGAAGTAACTAAATCATGAACTCGTGATAACAATTTGTGATGCTGTTCACTATGAATATATGTTTACTAAGAATGCATCAAATCATAAGTCCAAGGAAGGGCGAAATATGGTACAAAATATGGTAAAGCTCTAAAAGAGCTATGTTTTGTGGCCTAAAGGAACAAAAGTACCTAGTGATGATGAATTACCCAATTAAAAGGATATTTGCAAAAATGAATATCTTATCAAGAAAATAGTGAAACTAATATTTGCATCTGATAGACCAATAATTATACATATTTTCACCCCTATTCTTGAGCCGTTTGAGGGGTTGACTCTCGAGTTTTAAGCCGATTTCACGCGAGGTTGTGTGTTTATGTCATATTTCAGGACCCGGCGTTGGAATCGAGGCGAAGGAACGAGATTGGGGTCGAAAGGAGCAAGTGAGGATTGAAGTGGGCTGGAGGAAGAAAATACCCGGCCATGACCACAAATACCCGGCCGGGTATTATTCTGAGGAGACCGGGGATTTTCCCTTTTGGCGTCTGAGAAACAGGGGGGGTCCCGGTCTGAAAGGCAGAAATCCCCGACCTGGGATTATTGGATGAGAC